ATTCCTGAATTGATGAGGAAGCTCCCCCAGCAAAATCACTGATAAATCAGGTTCCTCATCCAGTGCCACCTAAGGCTTGGAAGACTGTCAGCACTTATTGACCAGCCACATCACAGAGGAGCTTGACACATCAGTGGATGAGAGAAAAGGGTGGACTAGTGGCTCTCTAACGACCAGCAACTCTTTCAGTCTTCCCTCAGGAAATCATCTCATCAGAGTCTACCTGCTTTGAAGTGGGTGACTTGGCCTTCATGGTAGAGTTCATTGCTACATTTAGACTTCCACTAAATTTCCCACCCACCTCCAGTGAGAAAGGTGCAGTAGTTTGTATCTGCAGTGCCATCTAAGTGAGGTGGGGCAAGAGACAGAGAATTTGGAAGAGAAGATGGGACAAGAAGTGCCAGTCCTTCACATGTAGTTCATCTTTGGCTTTTACCTGGTGTTCACATGACGTAAGCAACTGACTCCATCGGTCCAGGCCAGTGTATAAGAAACCACAGAATTTTGGGTTTTTTTTCTTGTATTGTTCTGCTTTGCTTATGATGAAAAGTGTGACAATTCATTATCCTATTTTCCACAGCAGTTTTATAAAAAAAAATGTCTTGGGAAAGACATTTTAAAGCCACCCTAATTACTTTATATTTTCTTGCTTTAACATTTAGCCTTCTAACACTCTGCCTGTAAGTTAAATGTCTAATTTCATATGGAAATCTAAAATGGCCCTTTGATACTGAATCATATATTAGAAATGTTAATTCTCTTATTGCTTGGTGAAAAGTCACAGATATCAGGTTCTCTAAGTTGTCATGATAAGCAGAAGACTGCCTGCTCAGATAACCAGACTCTCCAAATTCCAGGGTGCCATACGAGGATTTTATGTAAACCTCACAAAATAGCTGCCAAGTTCTAAAGGAGCCAAGGGGACTTCTATTTATTTAAGAAATATCCATTTTAAGAAGCACAGCCACGTTTAAATACTTCTGTAGGCACATATGCAGAAAAAGACAGTTCTACATTTGAGAATTCAAGTTTGGATAACAAAATTCATTTTCTACATGACTATTCTAACTGTAGAAAGATTTTGAGCTTTAACATTTATCCTTAAAAATGAAGTACAATATTGCTATCTCCTAGAACTCAACACCTGCTCATGGCCTTTCATCACTAACACCTGCTGATGCTGACGATAAAAATTACACCCATTGTCCAGAAGTGTTGTGCAACTAAGTTCCATCACCTGTGTGCAGGTGTTCGAAATCACCACCTGAGAAGCACGGTCATGGGTATCTGTGTTGCAGATTTGCAAGAATTATCCAAATCCACTTTACAACAACTATTTTTATTTTGTTGCCGGGACCCGAGCAATTTATCCCATCATCGTGAACGGTGATGCTGGTTTATTCAAAGACTTTTCCACCAGCATTAAGAAACAAATCCTCACCATTGTGACTTAATCAAAAATGAGAATATAAGGTTCTGTTTACAAGGCAGAGTTTTACCAGTTATATTGAAATAACTAAACCAATATAATTATTTCAATATAACTCCCTGTGTGGACACTTACTCAGGAACAAGAGTGGGTTTTTTAGGTTAGCTCAAATGCCTTTCAGTGAGACAAACTAAACTGAAAAAAGCCACTCTTGTTCCAAAATAAGACTGTCCACACACCAAGTAATACTGGTATAAGTATACTAGTTAAATTCACTCCTTAGCTTGCATAACTTTCCTGTGTGGACAAACTCTAAGAAAAGGAGCATGGGGAAATGGTTTGAGCAGGGGACTGGGAGGCAGGAAATCCCGACTTCTAATCCCAAACCTACAACCAACTTGTTATGTGGTCTTGGACAAGTAATTTAATGTATGTATCTCTTCATCGGTAAAATAATTATGAAATACCTATTTGAAAAAAATATGATTATTTAATTTTCTAAAGTGCTAAATAATTTACTCAAACTTTCTAAAAGAACAGAAAAGTGAAAAAAAGAAAGAATATCTTTCCGTACTGACTTGTAATTTACTTTAACCAAGTTATAGGACAAGACATTTTCCTATTGCAATAGAACAAAAATGCCTACTATCTCCTGAATCTCCATTGCCATAATTAAATGCAGAGGTTACTGAAGGCACTCTCCTCTGCTCAAACTGCTACCTTTTATTTTTGTCTCTTCAAGATTTACGAGACATTTTCTGTGCACAAAAATTTCTATATGTTAAATGTTATCCTGGAGATACAAAATCCATTTAGCTATCACATACAATGATGAAATTCTATCCTACAACTAAGATTGTGGAACCTGATACTGCAGTGTGACACTAATACTCTGAATGACTTGTAATTTCTGTAAATTACAGCCAGTTCCAAGATGCTAACAAGAGCGGAGTCTGCCTAGAAAGTAAAGTCCCCCCCGCCCATATATCTTTTAAGAGGAGTCAATAGCTTTTCACAAAAACACTTCTGTTGAATTAGAGAGATATGCATCATTATAAAGGTCTATGTTTTCTCCAAAATCTATTGAGTAATGAGGGCATAGCAGTCTAGTTATCATTATTTACTTTTGATAGATGTACCCACTTAATATAAAGTAGGGCTAGTGTGTTTGCTTGGCAATCTGATAAAGCCTAGATAAATCATGATGATCACAAAATGCTTTTACAAAATGTACAGTAAACTGGTTATTGCAGTACAATTCAAGAAAACTTGTGCATATGATAAAGATGGAGAATATGCCAATTTGCTGAAATGCACCAAAACTCTGCAATGGTAAAGATTTTACATTTAGAACAAAATGGCTAGCTACCACGAGAAACACAAAACACATGGGCTAGCAATCCCTTACTACTGATTGCAGACAACAAAATGCACATGCATATTGAAGAGAAATCATAGATCCACATTAAAATGCTTTTATGTGTACTGTAATATGTTTCCACATATCCTTGTTGGACAGCAAAAATACATACATTCTAGTCTATATACATACTTACACTGTGCTAATCATTGTCGTATCTGAGCACCTGATATTCTTCCACACAGAGACTTTAGGGTCAGAAGAGACCATGATCATTTAGTCTGAATACCTAAAAAAAGACTCACCCACCCGTTCCTGTAATATTCCTCTAACCTCTGGTTGAGTTACTGAAGTTCTCGAATCACGATTTAAAGACTTCAAGTTTTGCAGAGTATCCACCATTTACACTAGTTTAAACCTACAAGTGACCCACGCCCCATGCTGCAGACAAAGGCGAAAAAACCCATATCTCATATGGATACGCTCTCCAGTTAACAACAATAATTTGTAATAATCATTACACTGAATTTAGCTTTTTCTCTCTTCACAGAACAATTGAACAGACTGATTTTCTCTGATTTATTCATAGCTGGATTTTTTTTCTTTATTAAAATCCCTCTGGCTTGATATCTGAACAACATTGTTTAGGTGAGGTTGGTTATATAAGCTACATGGTATTCTCTGTCTTCCCTGGTTGGATGAGAATACCTTATGATTATTTTATCTGGTATGAATGTTCATGGAAAACAAAACACAAAAGGGACACTATTTAAAGAAATGACAATTTTCTTTAAAAACAAACAAACAAACAAACAAACAAACATTGATGGGAATTTTTTTCACTATTCACACAAATCTAGTCACTATGTTTCCAGGATATACTCTATGCTCTTGCTCCTGACACTATATATATTTACAGAAGCAATGTGCTGAAGGGGAGAAAAAGAAGCTACAAATAATACGTTTTATCTTTATAATACATAATGTATGGAGCTTTCTGGATATCCACTATGTAAGAACATATTCGTACTCTCTCTACTAAATTAAGTTAGTGTGCTTTCATTTAAATAATCCATTCTGAAAATACAGACTTTTCATTTCTATTGATTTTCAATGGAAATTAGAAGTCCGCTTTGTAGATTTGACCATTTAAACGAATGCACAATCTTCCAATCAGATGCGGGGTGAGGGGGGAAACAAATGTTCCTCTGCTGGAGTATTTCGAACAGTTCAGCTAACACAAAAAGGCATAAGACTCAGGCATTTACAGAGGAAGAGAGCTTTCACCACACAATATTCTGAGAACAGCTGTAAACTGAGAAATGTCTCTCTTGTATTTATTATCAGAGTTTCTGAGAGGTAGCAGTAATTTTTGTTTCTTCTTTTTTACTATTTCAAATTAAACTTCTATCAGGAACTATACTAGTCAGCTTTTCTTCTTCCCACAGAGATACTGCTAAAGACACAGCAGAACGTTCCTCAACCACACAACAAAAAGCATCTCTTCAGCTACATGTCCTCTTTCTCCACCAACGCCAAGACGCTGTCAGTACATTAGCAGCTACCTATTTTTTCTTCAACTCATGCCAAAGAAGTTTGCATAGCTGTCTCCTGGCATCAAGTAGGCAGCATAGCTCTTCATTATATTCCCTCTCTCAACAAAGCAAAGTTAGAGAAAAAAAAATCAGAAAATTTCCAGCAGCAGCCTTACTTACTTGATTTAATTCCTTAAAGGATTCAATAGAAGCGTGAAAGTCTAAGAAATCCTGGCCTGAAGGGCTACCTATGTTTCTCTTACTTAGGCCAATAATTAAGCACATGACCACCCCACAAAAAAGGCACTTTTGGCATCCTAGAAAAAGCAATTCCCCAAAATGGGAGAATGTAATATTTCTCCTTTTGAAGTCACCTACCAAAAGGCATACTTCTGCTACAGAGATCAGGTTAGAATTTGCTAGGCATTCGCTTCATCATACACAGCAAAATGGAGTGTATGTCGTGGCCAATTTCAGAATATTTAGTGGTGAACAAACATTTAAAAGCAGACAAAGATAACACATTTTCCTTTGTCATATTAATAGGATGCAGTCAATCAGGGATTTAAATAAAAAAGGAGTGAAAAACACGATGGCATACACTACACTACAGCACGTTTGTTCAGTTGCAACTGTAAACTATCTTTAATTTTTAAGGAAGAGGAAAGAATCTTACTTTCTTAACTTTAACACCATCCTTTGGAGTTTGCTTTGTTGCGAGATTGTACCCAATCATCTGTTCAGCAAGCTGCCCAACAACCTTAGGGCTACAAAACAAGGGAAACAGTCAATTTACTAACATGTATTAAAGATATTTTGATTAGTTAAAACAGCCGTTGCAAAAGCCTCAATACTATCAGTAGCATATTACTCATGTCTTTTGAATTTTAGAGACTTACTCTTTAGTTAGATGGACCCCTCCTTTCAATCCACTATTAAAAACACCTTTTCCTCTCCCTCCAGCTAGGATTTGAGCCTTTAGAACAATTTCTGTTGCCTCTGTAAGAGAAAAGAAATACACTGTTTTGCTATTAAATGTCATTTATTGAGCCATAGCAACTATTAACCTATTTCAAAAAGCAAGTAGTACAGTACCACTAGAATATATTTAAAAATAAACTAACTAAAATTCAAAACAGCTAGACAGTCTTACAGAGAAGTCAGTTTTGTTCATAACACAACACACCAACAAGTGTTAAAGAACATCAACGAGTTACCCATTAGCTGGCTAAAATATGTTGGTACTTAGACAAACAGTCATTAATAATGTATAACTTGAATAATAATCATGTAACTTGCATAATTTGGTTGCCTAGTTTTTAGAATTGTTTTCAATACATGGACCAGAGCATATGTCCTTTGAGTGGTCACATGTGCACACGGTAGCAGGCAAATGTTTATGGAGAGAGAGTAAATTTCAGTCCCTGATTGAAGCCCAAACAACAAGGGTGTGGATATGGGGATGCAAGGAAGAATCCAATCTCCAAGTGCAGGCTGGGTAGGGGAGCAGCTGGACATCAATCCCTAGGCTAAAGCAGCAGCTGCTAATCCTACATGGGGGTTTTGGTCCACTTGATCCAGTGTCTAAGCCAATGCCTTTTTCCCTGGTTTCAAGCTCCCCACTTTACAGTGGAGTAGGGAAATTCCAGCTTTGCTGTGCACAAGGGATACAGAATGCCCTAGGTATTCATTTGTATGCATTTCCCTGACCCCTGTGAAACAACACCACCCCAGTTCTGGGGCCTTGCACACCTTCTTCAGCCCTGGGTGACGTTCACCTGCAATAAAATACTAGGGCAGAGGTAAATGGCTACTCCAGCCTCACTCTGCCCCTCTACTCTCTATGTGGCCTTGTACAGAGAAGCAGCTGCTCTCATCTCACTCTGCCTCCTTCCCCTATAAAGCCTGCGCACAGGGAAACAGTCCGGCCACCATCCTGCCCATGCAGCATCCTGCCCAGAGTGTAACAGCTGCTCCCCTAGGTGGTGCTATGTGCACAGAGATTAACCACCATTCTTGTCTTATTTTCCAGTTCGTTCTCCTCGCCTTGCGGCGACTGGCCAGGGAGCTCAGAGGGTTGCTGCCTGATGGGTAGAGTTGTGAGGTAGGGGCTGGGCTGGGCTGCTTAGCAGGCAGGGAAGGTGTGGCTCTCTCCTCCCCCAAGCCAGGCTGAACTCCAGGTGGGCGGGGGGAGGGGGCGGAAGAAGGGCAAGAAGACATCTAAACTGATTGAACCGCATGGGGGGAAGGTGCAAAACCCCTTGGGAAGGAGGCCTGAGACCGCCAAACTGGGAGCATGTTTGTCTCATCCACTTGTTACGTCTTCTCTTTTAGGCTGTAAATTCTGAGGCAGGGACACTTGTTTACTGGGTTTGCACAGTGCATATTAAAATCGGGTCCAGCATGGTTGAATCTTTAGTCACAAATGCAAAGTAAATGTTAAATAATAACAACTATGGGGGAGGAATTTACTCAATGGACCCAGGAGGACTTTGCACTGCACCCCCACTGAAACCTCATACACCCATGCTCCTAAACTACTCCCTTCTCATCAGCATGGGAAAGCAGAAAGCTCACAAGATTAACTACGTCACACCAAAGAAGGAAGCAAGTTTCAGATTTGAGATACCTCACAACATCCCTGATCCCACTCAAAGAATGTCCTGCTCCTACCACCCTCCTTTTTCAATCAAAGTACTGTTAGCTCAAACATTTCAGCTGATCTCAACTACCCTGTGAGCACATAAGGAGAAAGGTGAATTCACTTGTAGCCAGCATCCATACCATTTACAGCTTTGGAAGTCAAAACCAATATCTAATGTGGAACTCACATGAACCCAAAGATACCGGGTTCTGCACTAGCTAAAGTTTCCAAATGGTCTTGGTACAGCCAATTTAAAGGCAAGAGTAATCTGATCTGGCAGTGACAAGCACATGGAAACTGCAGTGAGGTCAGAAGAACAACAACATAAGAACGGCCATGCTGGGTCAGACCAAAGGTCCATCTAGCCCAGTATCCTGTCTTCCGACAGTGACCAGTGCCAGAAACTAGGGATACCATCCCTGCCCATCCTGGCTAATAGCTATTAAGGTCTATATCCAAAAGAAAAAAGGCACTATCTAACCTTCTAGCTAAGCACAGATGGAAAAGAAAAAGAGAGCACTCTTAACAGTGCTGCTACCTGGACTTCCAGAAGCATAAGAAATGTGTGTTAATCTATGAAGAAACAGAGTGTCCAAAAAATGTTTGATTAATGATTACTAGCCTCAGTTTTTCACAGCTATCAGGATGCCCCCACACGTGTTATGAAGAGATGAGGTCTAGATATTAATGCACTATAAAGCACTGTCCGGAAAATGCTCATGTTTAAAATTGTTCCATGTTTTGTTCTTATGTGATCTGATGCAATTCCTGCTGAAGTTTATGGAAGGCTTCGACTTCAGTGGGAGTTGGATGAAGTCATTAATTAATGCACTTATTTTGCGTGTGCATGCAAGAAACTGTGGTATTTGCTCAATATAATATATCAAGACAATATAACTATTTACCTGAATATTTAACCACATTTTAGTATTAAGACTAAAACACAAGTTTTTCACACAGCTGGTAAAAGTAGCACTCCAAAGTACATCTGATTTTCAGGCTTCTCAAGACAAACCCCCCATGCTTATCCATCCACTAACATTTGGCATATATCATTCTGACCCTTAAGAATATTCTCCTTGAAAATACTTCATGCATTTCAACATATTCATGTTCCCAGCTCTCCTATTATTCATGCCACTGCAAGGCAGATAACAAGGAAATTTAAATGCAACAAAGTTTTATATCAGTGTTTTCTAAGCATACAAATTATTAAGATGAATTAAACTATAAATCACTTTCCAACCCACAGTAGCAAAACCTAAAATCACATGGCTGCTATGACAAAACATCTAAGTTGGCACTGTTAATGGACACTACAAGCATTTAATTAGATTAGTTTTAGTCACTAACCATCCTGACAATGAAAGCTTTGTATTTCCAACGATAAGTGCTGTCAATTATGCATGTAATCATTACCCTTGTACCACAGGTCTTAAGGCCACCAAGTCAATTTCACTCATAGCTTGCATGCTATACAATGAACTAATTATATTAATTTGGCTATAACAAAGTAAGAGAGCTGAATTAAATGCATATATTATTATAGTCTGCCAAAAAGAATATCTAGGCAATAAAATAACTGCACAAAGACAACGATCAAAGACATAAATAAGTGCACTAAAGTAAGAATAACCATGTAAAGGTTAGACCTGAAGTACTAATCAATACACCAGCTCAGCAGAACACAGTAGAGCAGGTTCTTCTTGCCCTAGGGGAAACCAACATGAAGTAATGTAATTCAATAGTTATCTGCCCAAGCTCTGGAAAATGAAGTAAACCAGCCAAATCTTATTTTACAGTAACTAGGCTTGATCATTCAGTATTTATCAAGTTGATTCACTACTTATTGCCACCATTTCTATTTTATTTAAAGATCTGATTTCTAGAAAAGCTCTCACAAATTTCTATTTGTTTTTATGTTACGTCCTGCCTGATTTCCCAGATTACATTAGGAAAGACTATCCCATACAAGAAATGTAATTTTAGTCAGAATATATCAAGTGATTTAACTGTACTCACAGTATAACTTGTAAAAGAAGCATAGATTCTAATAGATTTTCTACGGAAATACATTACACATATATTCAGACAATGTTATAATGGATCTATTCAGTTATCATCTATTCAAACTGTTTTATCAAAGCTACGAGCAATTGTAACTGCACAAATTTGTGCAGTTACAAACATTTAAGACTTTAAAAGGGCCTAGCACAATTAATAAAGTAACATGTCAATAGTTAAAAGCATGTTCTATGCCACAGCATAATGCAGCAATTTCAACAGCACTTTGCTTTGCAACTAAGGTCTCTCAGTCGATTTCTATTTCTGTCTATTGGCTGATAAGTCTTTGTGTGAAATTAATTTAAGTGTTTTCTTTACAGTTACAAAAAAAAAAAAGGTCAGACTGCTCATTAAAAGTGCATAGGTTTTGTCAGTAATTCAGCAGTAATATCCCCCAACTGTTCCATGCAGAATAAATAAATGCTTCTGATGATAGCCTGTGTTCTTAACTAATTATAATCTGAATATATTTAGTATCAAAGACTTGAAAATGTTTTCACTAGATTTTACTTATATTTTGTTTCTTAGTTAACACTAATGGAAAATGTTATTTCTGGTCATTTTCATGTTAATTTGCCTTTCTTGGTTTTGGAGAGAGGTTCATTCAAAATATTCACATACATTTGTTTCAACAAAATCCACCTGGTTTCTAGTGAATCTGTCAGAGCTGAGGATCAAAGTCTCCAGTCGTTACTTAGGCTGTGTCTACACTATGCAGACTATACTGGCATAGCTATGCTGGCAGAACCCTGTGTCAGATGCAGCATACACCAATGGAAGAGGTTGTTCCATTGTCATAGCAACACCACCTCTCTGAATGTTGATAGAACTTTTTTCCATTAACATTGCTGCATCTACACTGGGGATTAGGGTGGCATAGCGATATAGGTCAAGGGTGGTTGGGTTTTTGTTTTTGTTTTTTTTCCACGCTGTAGTTTTATTGAGCTAATTTTTAAGTACAGAGAAAACCTTAGGCAAAATTTCCACCGACTTTAAGGACCTACAATTATAGCAAAGACCTAAGTACATTCCTAGCAAATTAATATTATATCCAGATATAGACATAGATAAAACCTATCTATTTTTTCAAAGACAAAATTTAACATGTTAGCATTTCAAAATGGAACATAATGCTCAAAGGGACAAAAATCCTGTATATTGCATTTTACAATACATCTCCCTCTTTTCTATTAGTATTGTGAATACAAATTGCAGTGCTGCACCTTGAAATTGAAATAGGCTCAGTGCTGTAATGAAAGCCTATTTTGAATTAATAAAATTGGACCTGCCT